TGACGGACATCATCAGAGCGAGGTAACATCGTCACAACAAAATTCAGGCTTACGAGTCAAGAAAACTCCTCATCCGAAGCCTACACCTAACGGATGTAGAATTCTAGGACGAGGAGCTGAACAAATTGACGAGGATAATCCTCGGCAATGGCTGCCCAAGTGAGGTGATACAGATAAACATAGGGGCCGTGAAAAGCCGATGACACAATGGAGACTATGAAAGAACAGTAAGGACGATGAAGGACTCACCCAAGTGGATATGCCTACCTTGCTGAGAACTAACACAAAACTACGGCCAATATTGAGTAAATGGAATATTCAAGTTGCCATGAAAAAGAAATCAACACTTTTCACAAGTCTACCGACCCAACATGAAAGAGTAGATAAATTGGATTGTTCAGAAGTTTACAGTATATCATGCGGCGTCTGCGATCAGAAATATATTGGCGAAACATGAAGAAAAATTGACACACGAATCAAAGAACATCAGAGGATCTGCAACAAAGATCAGAAATAGCGGAACACATCGCACAGACTGGACACGTGATCAATTGGAAAGCAATAAAAAGAAGAGCTGCATATCGTGACAACACAAGGAAGCGAAAGATTAGGGAGGCCATTGACATCTTTGGAGATACAAATCTAATGAACAGGAGATTGGAGGAAGGTAGAGTTAGCGATAACTTTACCTACTGTCTAAGAAAACTCGGGGAAAACAAGAATAGAGCAAGACCAGCAAAAAGGAGACGCCTGGATCAAGGATCTACTACAAACAGGAGGAAAAGGGATCGCGAGGGAGAAAGGGGGGGCGGGGGTTGTCAGTGAGTGATGTCCATTTCGAATAAAACAGTACAACTTTGGGGGTCCGGCAGTCAGGGAGCTGGGCAGACGGATACCAAACTGTCATGGAAATTCGGCACTATGGCCAATTTGTACCAGAAATCCACTTGAGATGCCGCATGCGACCGGAGATAGGCGTCCACAGTTTGCTCAGATAACATGGGTTTAATCAAGGAGACGAACTGTGAAGGGAAGGCCTGATATCTGCAAGCATGGCAAGCAGAGCTTAAGCGCTCTGCTCAATGAAGCACCAGTTTATGTGCTTCTATGGCCTCGAGAAATAGCGTCTGCAGTGAAATTCACACAGGGACTGGAACCGAGAGAAATCGGTCAACCAGAAAGAGAAGGAACTGATCTACGAGACAATGAGGGGATCCGGATTGGAGGCCACTATTCGGATCAGCCGATCAAAAGAGAGGGGGTCGGGGTGAATAGAAAGTGTGATGAGGCCACACTAGATTTGCCACAAAATGGCACACGTTTTGACGAGTGGAATGTGAACAAGTGAGAAGTTGTGATAGGGCGGCAGTGGGAAAAGAGGGTAAAGAGTAGATAGATAGGCCAGGACAGAAAGAGGAGTGATAGTTTAACTGTTTTCGGAAAAACGTTTGTCGAGGGATTGGCTTCACTTGTCTCTTTGACAAGTTCGTTGCTTGGTGCGGAGAATGGCAAGGCTCACTGATGATGCCGACTACGATGCCGGCAAAACGTCTGCGAATGTACCAAGTCCACTGTCTGGCGCTGGGAATCATGACAACTACTATGGCAGACGACTTCGGACTTGGTGCATTCTTCTAAGTCGCCCTGACAACAAGACCAAGTTGCGACAACGAGGTCAACCCATTTCGGGTAATATCGTCGAATTAAGGTCTATCACCTGTCCTGCAACAGTGTCCTGCCTTCAAAAATCCCATATTCCCTATGCTCCACTGTCATCCGCGATAGCCTTTCTCTGTTTCGAATCCCGTTTCATGAGTTTTAGTCCGACTTGGAGGAACATGCCCGTTTTATGACAAGTTGATCTTAAGCGACCAATGGTGCTCAAGTTCTTATTTAACAACTGTTGACTCCCTCGAACACTACTTACATCGAAAGCATAATTTCAGTGACTTGCCTTATTGCTAACCTTTTATCCATAGTTACGTAATCAGCTCAATCTTTTCATGATGTATGGCAAACTGCAATTCACGGATAAAGTCAAGTTTTCACTCCACATCATGAATATCATCATCTGTCATATCACGCGAAAACGGTGAGCCTTATCTGTGATCTGTCCCCCACTATTCGTTGGCAATTTAGCATAAAGCAGCAGAAAGAACAGTGTCCGCATCAGGCGCTCGCCCTGCCCAGTCATGGACAATCTATAAATCTAAAGCTAGAAAGCATTATCGATATTTTGATCCAGACTGGCGGCAACTAAATCGCCATTATAATAACTAGAATTATACTCCTCATTCGGCTATCTAAATTGCTACGATGAGTGTAGATTGGTAACATTTTCACATAGGAAAAGTGTTTTCCAGTACTTTTGGGAACATTGTCGTCCAGGTTTGCTATTCTGGCTTTACGCGGCCTTGGATGTGGATAAGGCTAAAGTGTTTTGGTTGAAAACGTGGGCTATCTTTTACGTGGTTCTTTTATGTTTCCCTTGCTGTACCGGTTGTTTTTGCCAGAATCCGAGCCCGACTTAATGCCTTAGTATTGTCACATATTGCAGTAAACATGAAATTTCCGGACTCTGTAGTGCTATGGATAGTTTATGGCTGAAAAGAGGGAAGTGAATGTTTCATGTCTTCCTTCCGCTGCGTTTTGCCACTCCAACTTCGTCTGAGCTGGCGACACGACTGGAAAAACGCTATTTTAAGGCTCTCAGCCTTTGCCGCTGTAATGATGATTTAAAAACCGATATCTTCATTCGCGGATCAGTTGCCGGCGTCTTCAACGGCAGGAGATATTCCAGGTCTCGAAGCGCATTATGTGCTTGGCCCAGTCGATCCAAGACTGGTTAGATTCCCTGTCGGATGGAGGCAATAGCAGCCGAAACGACACTTTGTCTTGAGGCCAGTATCGAAAGGAATCTCAGATGTTCCAGACACCACGGCTTCCGTTGCCTCAACATTTGATTGCCTGAAATGACAGATAAGAAATTTTTTTCAATTTACAATCCACCCTTGAAATGACAGTATTTAGCAACCGCCAGTCCACATGCTTCATCGGCTAGAAGAGAGGTAGAAGAAATGCTCATAAGTTTTTCTCCAACTACATGTCGGAGTCCGTTCGTGAGGCCTTGTGGAATTGTATAAATCTGGTCCCTCTCAGCAAAAAGGTGTGGTAGGGAGGCTAGTAAAAATTGTCAGCTTCATCCACATTTTCTTAAGTGTTTACATGGCGGCTCAGCTCAAGTTCATGCCAATGCTAATTCACCTGGTTTGAAATTACTCTTCAGTGAGACTAGCACACGTCGGATGAATACTTGGCAGGATTTAGGCCCCAAAAATCTCACCTTCCTAGTCTCGAGAGGCCAGGCGAAGAAAAGGGTTTCGATGTTTGCACTGCCTGTCAATACACGAATTACATTGACCGAATGTGCTCATCTGCGCCGACAAGACATCTTCACGCTAAGCATATGGGTGTGTCTGTGTCTAAGTGTGCATGAATCTCCTCCTCCATGTGTGTATGTATGTATGTATGTGTTTTGTGTGTGTGCATGTGTGTGTATGAGTCCAATGGTCACGACCAGAAGCCATCATGATTGATGGAACAAGATTTACAATGCGTTTGAACCAAGGGCGGGGCAGATAGCGAA